CTTTTAAATCTTTACCACAACAACCCTCTACTTATCTTTGAATTTGATTATTAAGTTTATATAACTCAATATAAATTAAATTTGTTAAATTAAGATATAGCTAATTTTGAAGTCTGGAATTAATACTTCTCGCACTCACTACATAGACATTGAGATTGAGATTACTTTGATTGGAATTTTAAAATAAAATGTTTAATTTATATGTAACAAATTGTTTGAATATTTACAATACTTACATTCTTAACACAAAAATTAATCTACATTTATTATAGAAAATAATATTCGTAAGACATACGAGGTAAATATGTTTAGTAAAATAACTAATTTCGATAAATTACATTAATGTCATTTTAGAAACAGTAGTTTTCAATATAATTATTATTACCATCTGGTTAAGAATCTTGAGTGTATCACTATGTTCAAAATCTATTTTAAAAATTAAATATAACAGGTTTTTAATCAAGAAATATAATGATAAAATATAGTATAGTATATATTAGACATTAATAAAAGTTATCGAATTAATGATTGTAAATTATTAATTCAAATCTAAGCTACATTAAACCTATTGAATATGTTTTTTATTATAATATAAATATAATGTAATTCCCTGGTATATTTTTTTATTTATCATTATCTAAAAAATATAAAAACAAATAATACTTTATACGTTTAAAATTTATTAAATATTTAATTTATTATAAATAATAATTTCTATATAATTTTTAATATATAATTCTGTTAAATTATAAGCTGAACCTAATACAATTTATTATTTGTTATTTATATTTAATATATATATATATATATATATATATATATAAGAATTATTTTATGAAAACATTTACGCACAAATAATTAGTTACAATGTTATTAAAATACTTGTTCTAGTAGCCAACACGCACATTTACTTACGATTTTATAGAACACAAAATTCAATTTAATTTACAATAGATATAATCAGTGGCGTATCCAGAATTTTTTTTTGGGAGGGGTTATAAAAAATGTAACATTCAATTTTTTTTGAATTTTGTGTGTTTCTATTATAATCAATAGACAATATACATACATTAAACATTTTCGAGGGGGGTTATAACCCCCTAACCCCATCCCTGGATACGCCACTGGATATAATAGATAGTTTTATATAAAAATTGCATCTTGATAATTTAAAACTTATTTATACAAATTGTGATCAAATAAAATTTTTAATTTGGCCCAAGGTCAATTTTAAACGAATTTAAATAACTATAAAATTAAATGTTTGATTGTTAATTAATAAAATTGATGATTGGCATTATAATTATTAGATCATAAACCATTATATCACAAATATGTATACAAGCAAATAGTTATGTTACACGCATAAAAAGGATTTAGATGTATAGAGTCGAATTATTATATAATTCTACTTGATTCCACGCAAGAGGGTAGTTACTCTTTAATTAATTAACTTAAAATTTAAAGAAATTTGCAAACGGTGTGTGATTAAATAGGAACTAACATATTTGTGCTTCGTTTAATTAAAAAGAAGATTTATTATAACTAACTATATCAAAATGGGAAGCCCCAACTAGCCACTGACTCAATAGTAAAAACATCTGCCGACTATAAAATGAGAACAGTGAATTATTATAGAATTATTAATAATAAAATTATTTTAGTATTCGTGAGTCCATGGTAGTATTAAATATAATAGAACTAGAATTGATAAGTTTCACAAAAAAAAAAAACGAAAAGTGGAATAATCATAAAGCAGATTTCACTAGTAGTATATAATTGTTATTCTACCATTATAATCGGGTAATGGCTTATTTGATGAGTACCAACACATTAGTCATTAGTCTTTGATTAACATCATTAGTCAATCTGCTTTGTGTCACATTTATCGACAATCTTCGGAAAACGAAGTGTTATAAATTGGAATGAATACTACTACAGGTTTACCGGTCACTACGACTTAACATGTATTCATAAGACTCATAAATAACAGATAATTTACATGCTGTGAAAACTCGGCTTTGGACTATTAAAATAATATATAATTGAAGGGTTGTACATTTTTTGAAGAATTCAAATAATTTTATAATATCGTGTATTAATAACAATTGAAAATACCATAAACGAAAAATTAATTATCTATTTTGAGTATTTGTACTATATATTACATATGATTTCACTAAATTCAAGTAAGCAGATCACAATCAACAAAATACTCGTATTATATAATTGATATTAGAATATTCTAATATGATTATATTAATATTATGATAGCAAAATAATGATTTATACGATGTCATAGTAATACAATTTTTAATAACTAGCGTACATTAAATAAACTATAATTTAAATACTACAAAGTATATACTATATACAGGTTAAAAAATATGTATTGTTTATAAATTTAAAAAATGAAAACATGTTTGAAAAAAAAATTACTTAATAATATAGAATATATATAGAAATATATAGAATAAAATTTAAAAATGGTTTTAGAGAAAAATGTAGTTTCAGCGACCATTAAGGTCAGTATACAATTGAACAAATGGAAACAGGTTTTTTCCAGTATATATCACACATTATCTTTGGTCATCTTAACCCTTAATTTAATTGGTTCTTTTATATTATTTTTATAAATAAAAAAGTAGTAGAACTATAAATGTGGGAAATATTTCTTACATTACTTATATTTCAATATTAAATGAAAATTTTAATAGGCAATCTAAATAAATCGTTACCATGAAATTGATAAGATAATTATAATTATTAAGATGAAATAAGATATATTTTATATCAAAAATACCATTTTTTTTATGATTTTTAAACGTAAATGGTTTAACAATAAATAAAATAGTAATACTATATAACATCCCAAAATTACATTGAAATTATTATTTAAGATTTAACATCTATTAACTCCATACATGACTTTAAACATAATTAATGTGAATTTATAATGTTCAGTTTTCCAGTAAGTTGAGCTTAAAGTCCAATGAAAAAAATATAAATTATAATTTTAACTTTTTGTTTTACTAAGACATAAAATTTAGTTTTATGAATTATTATTCATTACTAAATGATAGGTACTTAAAATTAAATTAATGAATTTAATTAAATAATATGTTTATTTGACTATTCAGATAGAGGAACAAATTAAAGCATCTAGTATTTAGTATTCATTCAGAAACTAAAATTATATTTTATTTAATGAAAACATATTATACAACACACAATCTTCAAACATACATGACATAAAAAAATTCTTTTTTTTCTCAAAATATGCACTTTATATGCATAATTATGATTATAACTAAATTTTTGTATAAATCAAATCAATAATTCTTAAAATATATAAATGAATAAACAAATAGCTTATATATAGAAATAAATAAATAAATAAAAGCTTTGTCTGAAGTATTGAGTTGTTATTTTATTTTTTCATATTCAGTCGTAATTTTATTAACTTTGGATAAACCTGAAAATTAATTTTTAATTTTAAACAGATTGTACACTAAAAATATAATACTGCAGGCTAAGCTTTAATTTATTTCTATTTATAAACTATTTGTTTATTTATTTATATATTGATTTATAAGTATTAACCATTTAATAATTTTTAATTTTAATTATATTTTATATTATTTTATTATCAATAATTTATTGTAAATATCAAATAGTTATTAGGAGAAATTTTCTCCACTAAGAATAGAAAGAAAATATTGATTTTTTTTAATTAATTCAGCCACATAAGGAAACAACCTTAAAAAAGATCAGGATATGCATACATAAATGAATATCTGTGTAGATATATTAGTTAAAATATAGAAAATATCTTATCATGATAAAATATATACAATTTAATATATATTCATATAACATTATTGATTGTTTGTACCTACATTATATTATTTGGTATATAAATAACAATTATTCACAACTAAAATATACCTTACACAGATATTTTATACATGATATGCAACATAGATAATAAATAATTTAAATACTAAACTAATGAATCTTTTTATAAGTGTTAACACTAGTATTGTAGCAAGATTGATAAAATATTATATACCCAAATGTATATACATCAATGTAAAAGTTTATTGGGTAACAACAATTTACTTTTATTAAAACTTAAATTCCATAACAAAATATTTTGTTAGCCAAAAACGTTAATAATCTTTTTAACACAGTTTCTGCTCAGGAATATAAAAACAATATTACATTATCTGTATATTATTAATAATTAAATAACAATGAAATCAAAATAAATATATAATATTAACTAATTCAAAGTGCATTTTGAAGAGTTATTCATACATACTCGGTCATTCCAGATGATATTAGTTGTATTTGTCACTAACTTGAGTAAAATTTGTGGTTATAGTTTATTATGGGAAATTCATTCTTGTACTTCAAATTTCATTAAAGTATAGTATATATGAGTAAAACTAAGCAAAGAAACAGAAAAACAATAAACAAAAACTATGTATATACTTTTTAGATTCTTAAATTTGTAAAATAACTTAAACTTTTTTAATAAATTATTAAAATATGAATAAAGCACCTATAAAATTAATTATTTCATACTTAGTAATTTTTATAATAAGGTATTTTATATCTTTCTATTTCTATGAAATAAGCAGAAGATAACTACCTATGTATTTTTAAATATATTACATATGTTACAATATAATGCAATCAGCCATCAAATAATAGATATACAATAAATTAGGACAAATAGGTGGTAATAATATTACATAAAACAATTGGTACAAGTATATTTATTGAATTAAATAATTAAATACTAGGTCATAATAAGTAACATTAAGAGTTCTCTAGATAGATAACTACCAACCAAAAATATGTTAACATAATTTCCCATGGTTTCATATATAATTTTTTACTGTTAAAAATCAAAAATAAATATTAAGTTTAATAATCTTACATAGCCAAATCAACTGTAAACAGCTAATGTGGTTAAAACAAACAATACATACCGTTGAATGGCCAAATATGTGCAGGTAATGAATGTGCTGAATAAACGCGTCCAAGACTGATATTAGCAGTAACCGTGGGACTATCTAGGATCTGGTCATCATTTGAGCTACTGTCAGCTTCCAAGACATCTGTGATGTCGAATCTAGGACTAGCAGAGTTGCTATTGCCATCATGGCCGTCAGGTACACTGGACAATGATCTGGCACGCTGCCTGTCATTGGCCACAGCACTGGGCAAGGAGCGTAGTATGCTGAACCCTGGGTTTCCAGCGGTGTGTACGGAATCCGAACCATTACCCGAGGCGAACGACCGATCGCCATGGCTGGTGCCACTATCATCACCGTTGGCCGTGCTGGCCTTTGCTCCCATCTCGCATGCAACAAACGTCTACGGAAATACACTCCGCGGACAACAAAGGCACGGAACGACGAAGACAATGAGGAAGTTTTCGTGCGCGTTATACTACGAAAAGAGAATAAAGTGTTCTGTCGTGAAGACGTCGTTCATCACACTTGACATTGATCGCCGAAAACAAACTCCGAGAAGACGAAATTCACTTAATCCACTTATAACATAAGCAAAACAAAACGCACTATGTTCCGATAATGAGCAACGAAATAAAAAAAAAAACGCACACACACAAAAGAATTGATAATAATAACAATTATAATAACAACATTAACTATAAAAACGCGCGACGATTTATAGCGATTTACGGTGCGTGTATCTTTTCACAAATATTATGTTATTTATTGAATATCTATCGTTTTCTTCCTATTGTTTCGTGTTTTTCATATTCCTCGTACTCGTTTCGGTTGTCCGTACGTCGTAGCGCAGTTACAAATTATTGGTAGTTCTGATAGTGATGATAACATGGTCAACTGGTGAGAGAGAAAAAAAAATCCAGACGATTAACATGGCGACGAGGGAAGGGATTTCCCGATCAGCTGTTCCCCGCCGCGCGACGTAACATAATAATAAAACAATATTATTTAATATGTAAGTGGCGTCCGTCGGTCTTTTCACATTTTGCTACCTGCCCACGCTTGCTCTTGTCTCGCCATTGATACCCGATTATCCATCATATAAAGCCTAGATAAATACTCAGCCACCCAATAATTCATTGAAGAGATCTATCTAAAAACCATAGCAAACAAAGACCTCTTATGAAAATTAATTCCAAATATGTATGTCAATCAATTTTCAAACGTAAGAATAATAATCATCAACAATTTTCAAGCCTGAACTTTGACGGAATAGGGGATCGGTACTGAAAGTACCCCCACCATCGGTACGCCCCTGTTAAGGTATATATATTCGACTTCCTCGGACGCAGTTTTTGTACAGGAACAAAACGTTTAGCAGCAAGTTTTCTATTCAAAACGTACATTTTGTGATCGCTGAAAGTTATTACCGTGAAGAGTTGGCACTTGAACAGAATAGATCTACCAGTGGCGTATTTGAATTCATTTTATTGGGGGGTGGGGGCTAAATTTACGATCATTATACATTAGTTAAGTACAATATTTTTATATATATATATATATATATGTTTATGTTCTTGAATACATACCTATTGGCAAGGCCGTATTTGGGGTGGTCCAGAGTGTCTGGACCCCCCCCCACCGAAATTTCTTCAATATTTTATGAATGTTTAAAATAATTATTTATTTTTAATATCAACATAAATATTTACAGTCAAAAATGACTTAAGCTCCAATTAATCATTGACTGCTTTTAATTTTATATCATAATATCATATGAAAACATGATACTAATTTTAATTAAAGAAGATTAAATCTTTTTCTGTCTTATTTTTAACCAAATATCAAAAGTTAAAATCTAAATTCAATAAAATTACAATATACATGTTTTGAACCCCTCCCGAAAAAAATTTCTAGATATGGCCTAGCCTATTAGTCCATTTTATACTTTCATCTTTTACAGATTGCACATCTTGACAAAGATAAATAAAGTACAATAAATCTCAAATTATAGTAAAACAAATTATATTTATTAAATTATAAAATCAATATTTCTATTTTTCATTTGTAAAAATGTATTAATAATTCCATCAATATCTATATTAATTGATCTGTGCACATGCAATAAAGCCAATCCACTTAATCTATTTTGCCCCATTGTAGGTCTAAGCCATGTTTTTAATTTACATAAAATAAATGAGAAATTCAAATATAAGCAGTGCTTGACTTTAGGGGGGGGACAAGGTAACGGAGTACCCCAACTAATTTCAGAAATTTTAGCGTCCCCCTACTATTTTTACGCTATAAATGTAACGTTTAACAAGTCTTGGGGACACTATTTTCTTTAAACTAAACAGAATTCCCTTATTTTTTTTTTTTGCCAAGTCGAGCACTGAATATAAGTATATTAATGTCAATTGCATAATCTAAATCTTTTTACAAACAAAATATTCTATTCAACTACCATGAACTAGAAAATATTTTCAGCAAATTTAATCTATGATATTTTGTACAATAGTAAATAAGTTGCTTTTAAATTCATTTTAATAATTTATTAAGAATTTTTATGGCAAATTATTGTAATGCTTACAAAAAATATTTTTAAAATCACATTAGCTGAAGTATATAAACATGGTTTAATAATAATTACATATACTAATCATAGGCGCAACTAGTCCTTTAGGTTAGGGGGCTAGATTCCTAAAAATGTTTTATCGCAATTTTTTTTAATTAAATTAATATTTATTGTTTCTATTAGTGCTTACAACTGACTTGAACGCATAGGAGTGCGCACGTCGGTGGCCGGGTGGGCCCCCCCCCCTGTGGACTCTAGCTTTTTCTTTAATAAATGTATATCTATACTATACAAGATAGCGAACATTTTTACATTTTACATAAATAAAGTAAAGCCAGTTTTAATCTTATAGTATAGAATTGATATCTGTGAATAAATGTAATAAAGTTATTAGTTATTAATCAGACTAATCAGAACTTGCATATAATATAAAAATTGAAGATGTAATTGATACATTCAAAAACCTTACTCCCGTGGACAGAAGGATGGAGTTGTAAATAGTATAATAATATGTAAATAAGGATTTCTTAGATATAAATTGTGTAAGTCTAAATAGTATTTATTTTTATATCTGCATATTGAATTAAATAAATAATTTATAAAATTTAAAATATTTAATTATACTAGTAGTCTTTAGTACAAGAATCTTTGATTCACTTTTTTTAAGAGGCCTCCCCTGCGGACAAAGTCTGCGCACGCCAATGCTTGAACGGTTATTCGTTTATTTGAAACACTATATTTTTTCATATTGTAAACAAAAATAAAGTTAATAATAACTTATTTATAAGCACATACATTTATCCAAAAATTCTGGAAGGGGCTAACATAAATTTATAATATATAAAAATAACTTGGGAAATGGAGAGGGTGATGGAGGGGTAACTTTTCCGACTGATGCGAATGACTTCATGCGGAAGTACAAAATTAAATAATAATTTTACAGTTGAAAATTTAATTGTAAATGGAAGTGGCCTAGACAATCTGATTGTTGCGAATACGGTGGACGTACTATCACAAATCGATCCGTTTAAGAGTCCTTTCATACACATCCGATCCGATCCGGTTCAGTTGTTTTTATATTTTGATTATAAGCATTTAATACGTATACTTATATCGTAGGGAACGGTTGTATAATGTTTCAAGTTTGAGTTTTGTTTGAGTTTTAAAATTTCAAGTTTATGAACACATATTTTATTACAATGAGGGAATTCAATGAAGATGAATTAATTATTATAGCCCTGATTCTTGATTATACATATACATAAAATAATAATAATAAACTTCTCATTGGACTTGGACCTCACCCAAAAATGACGTTTAAAAACCGCATCTGACATCACGCTTCACCATTTTTGGGATAAAGGATCGAGTCTACGAAAGTTTAAGAACTTTTAAAGTACCTACCGGTTTCGCCAGACGTTCTCGAATCCACGCGCCGAACCTATAATCAAAGAGGGGCGATCGTCCTACTATTCTCGATAGGTGTGGGTCGGTATGTAACCAAAAAAATTATTCATGTAAGCTATAAATGTATATTTATTTGTAGCAGGTCGTAAGGAATAGGGATAAACAACTGACCAAACTGACCAATTAACCACAAACGTGTAATATGTGGGGGGTGCTAAGAAATAATTGTTGTCCCTCCTATTTAATTTTAGTTCGGAGCCACTATATTTACGAGACTGCAACGTATTAAAGTATTATTTATATTATATACACTCTCGACGATATCAATTTTTTCGTGGTTTTTTTTTTTACGCAGTATATTTACTTATAAATTACATAAACTATAAATCAATGTATTGTAATGTTTATATGTGCAATTTTCTTTGCACGGTGCAACGACTTAAAAACTACGTTTCACAGGCGTAATTATTTAACAAAGACTCGAGGAGCCCCCACACCCAGTGTTGGTCTGGCCCACCCGGATACCCGGCAATCACCGGGGGATCTGAGATTTAGTGCTGTACTTGGGGGGGGAAGATACAGAAGAACGGAATACCCCAACTCATTTTCAGAAATGTTAGTGTCCCCCTACTATTATTACGTTTTAATTATAACACTGAACAAATTTTGGGGACGCTTTTTTTCAAAGTAAACAGAGTCTCCCTTTATTAGAAATGTTAATGTTTTACAATCAATACTTTTAAAAAAAAACCTATAATAAAAATGATCACTATGTTATATAAATATTTTCGAATCTAATTCTAGTTAAATGAAACGTAAAAAACAAAATCTATACGTTTATTATAGTGAATATTTAAAAATTAAATATTTTATGTTTGAACTATTGAATTAGATTCCCGATTTCATTAAAATAAGTAAGATAACAAAAAATATATACCTAGAAGCTTATTTTCATCTAGATACACAAAACGTGCGTCTTCCCATCATTCTAGGGCACATACTATACAAATTATTATAGACAATAAATGGTACACATACCATACATAATATTTTATAATATATATGTATGTATGTATAATATATAACCTATATTCGATATAATGACGCAATACGTAGATTTCAATACCACTTATGAATTATTCAATATTTAGTAGTTACCTATAAATTATATTTCATGTTAGATTCCAAGGTTAGGTAGTACGTATATTATACCTACGTGAACATGTTGAATATTTTATATACTTTTGATAAAATATTATATTTACTCATTACTTATTAGCTACCACAACTATAAATAGGTATGTATTTTAAATATTTTATAATGAACCAACGTGTATATAATAGTGTATACTTAACTATGACTATTCAAATTTAATTCAGTATTCTAATATTTAATATAATAATTGACTGAACAATAAACAAGTATAATTTATTGACATTTGTGCACATGTGCTATGACTCATAAAAATCGCGTCGAGACACCTACATAATACCTAATATAAAATGTATAATACATAGGTACCCAGATAACTCAAATTGGTGAGAAAAAATAATTATTTACAAAACCAGAATAGGTTACTACCACTTTCACCTCGCGCATTCGTACTTTATCACCAAGGAACCCAAAACTGCGTATGTGATAAATCACAATTGCACACATAATCATTGACTGTTAACGAGTTTTACTGTAAAAATATAATGTTTTAATTTTTTTTTTCGTTGAGTTTTATGCCGTTCGGACTTTTTCGGCTATACATGAAAGACTATATATTAAAGTCATATACATTACAATATGTACAAATTATTAACATTATTATGCTTGTTGGACTGAAGCAATTCAAATACAGTTGTAATTCTTTGTTGGGATTTTGGAAACATGTGCCTGTTATTAAATACCCAAAAATTACTCTTTGCGC